TTTCCGCCAATTAAAAAATCCAATTAGAAGAAGGATAGTAATTGTAGACCACGTTATGTTACGTGGCAAAGTCTGCATTACAACAATCGTATCGTTAATTGATAAATAACACATCATTTGTCACAAAATGTGTAATGTGAAGTAAAATTCAACTTCTCTATCACGGTTGAAAATGGGAACCCAAAATTGAACAATGTCGACGATGAATTGCACTGGTAAACATTGATTATATGATTGATTAGACAAGTTAAGCGCAATTAAGAGAATTTGAAACCGTCACATGCGTGTCTACATGTACATCTAGATGGGAAACAAACAAAAGAGGGTCCTAGTTGGTTTTTGGCTCCACCTTAAACAAACATTACATGAAAAGTCAGATCTTCATGAGACCTATGTCTTAATAAATAAAATTGTAATTACATCATGCCGATGCCTTGGCTCTCAAGTAATGTTTCTTTTCGTCGCGAGGTTTTGGCACTGAAATTGGGTAATATATTCATGTGTTTAGTTAATGCACCTAACAATACACATGACCTCTTCCGGAAGTATCGAAAACGACTAAAAGAATCGTCAGTATACGCTTTGCAATGTTTATCCAAGCAGCTTAAGAAGTCAAAGATGCAAATACAAGTGGACAAAGTTCAAAAACAAATTAAGAAGACAATCATAATTAATAATAAAAAATAATGTTTATGCTAACTCAGCAGTTATCGAAGTGTATTGGATGCTAAACCATAAATATAGACTTTTCAAAGGCGTTTACCTAATACTTTTGTAATTTTGTGAGTAATTAGAGTCCCAAGGTGCTTTCCAGTGAATAAATAAACACATCTTCCTGTCACTTAGCTGACTCATGCTTGACAACCACAACAACTCCCATGTTTTATTTTGGCAATAAGTAGCGTGTTCAATATTTGTTTATCAAATAGTACCATGACAAGAGCAAGAATTCTATAATGAGGATCTTATATATGGCATTTAGGTGAAGCTCTATCCCCACTTACAGATCAAGTGCACCAAAATATATAGCTATTTTTCCTACACTAAATAGAATCCGCTGCAGCGGAATAAATTTTTTTTTCACTGTCAACTTAGAAATTGCAATAAAAGTTCCTCATGAGTGAGGGCCTTATCTAAGCCCTTAGAGGATGAATAGGGTGGTGGTGCTTCCTATCAATTGGGCTCACTTTTTCTAATTTTTGAATTTCCTATCATGCTTCATGTCTTGTATGTGATATATATATCAAGAAAAGAAGTTTGTTATACCAAGATGTGATTTTTTTTTGGGAGTTTCACTCAAACATCCAAAATGAGGACTGAAATTATAAAAAAACCCAACACCCAAAACACTTTATAAATACACCCAAAATCCATCATTACACACACTCAAAATTCATTGATAAACACACCCAAAAAATATACAATTGTTGATTTTGGGGTTGATTTTAAGTGTGTTTCTATGTTTAAATAGGGTTTGGGTTTTTTTTATAAATACATGTTTAGGATTTAGTTAATTTATAAATTTGTATTTTTTTTTTCCATCAATGGAGGTGTGCTTATATACTATGTAACTTATAATCCTAAGTTCTACAGTTATGATAATGAGTTAGTTCATGTAATCTTGTCTTATAGAGCTTGGCAACAACCAAAGAAAAAAAAAAAAAAAGGTTACATGAATCTTGCCAAAAAATTATAAAAATAATAATTTGACGGAGCACATAACTTAATCATACTATTTATCCAAAACAGCATCAAACACCTTATAATCTTATAGATAAACAGTCAATCCTCTCCAAAACAGATTAATATTATCCAACATAAATTAGTCAAAACAGTCCACGTACCAAACGAGCCCTTAATGTAAGTATGTGTTGGCAATTCTTCACAATAACTCGAAGGAACTTTGGGAGATGAAAGTGCAATTAACAAATACTTGTTTTACCATGAAAATAAAGGTTTACGTACATTGATAGGTCCAAAAAGAAAAAGACGACAAGGAAACAGAAGTATAAAGACTTGATACAGGCACATCAATGACTGAGGTCGGGCACGTTTCCAAGCACATCCTGCCACGGGAAGCACAAAATTAGATCAATTTATCCGAATAAGCTAAGTTGAAGAAAGACAGCATTACTTCTTGCCATTCATTATTTGGCAAAGCATTACAGTTATGTCTTGAGTTGAAATGAAATTCATTTATCATTCTAGGCTTTTCTTGCCACTCATTGGCGGCCCAGCACATGCACCATAGGAATGGTTCCCATACGGTTTCATGTACCCAGTCTCATGAGGATTATCAATGAACAGCCATAAGTGGAGGGGGGAAGAAGGATGGCAGTGCTGAATCCATTTCAAGTTTTCTATGCAGATACAAACATGATGCTAAACTATCTATCAGTAAAAAGATTATTGCAAATCTTCTGTGAGACAGCTAACACACACATCAATCCACACACACACACACACACACACATATTTAGCATACAGGGCTTGAAAGTTCTTTCTTGCTGCATAGTTTGAACTTCTCTCTTCTTCAGGATTCAATTTGAACAGATTAAATCGAACAAATTTTACCAGGGGCAAATAAATGAAAAGCCTAGACAAGATAAACTCATTATCAATATTAAGTAGACAATAAGGGATTTTGAAAGGGCACAGCTATTTCATCACTCATATTATGTCATCTGGCACTCCTCCTCTGAGTGGTTGAAGAGAAATTCGGGAAGATGGAGAAGTAGAAGGAAGTCAAGGGTAAATCATGAAGGATAAAGGGCAGGAAATATGTGATTCTCCATCCCCTTGATGGCTAGAAGGGGAGGGAAGTATGGAGGAAGGAAAAACAAAGCTACGTCCAATAAAACAGCAGACATCAATCCTCCCCCTCTATCATATATCTTTATTATTTCCACTCCCAAAAGACTCGAGAAAGAAGAGGCAAATTCTATGCTTGAAAATCTAGGATAACAAACAATATTATGTATGTATCAACAGTAATAATGCAGAAAAACAACAATGAATAAGATATGGTGTGTCGATCAAAATTAAAATACCAACTATCAAGTAAGATCAATTATACACATACTCACAAAATGGAGTTTTCCAAACAAACGAAGGCAAAGAAAGCATATGAAGTGCAGACCCAGTTAAAGGAAACAAATCCAGCATCTTCAGAGTTCATAGGATTTATAAATTTTTTGAAATTTTTGACATGCTGGATCACATACTCATTGTTAGTTCTTTCTGGATGGTATATTATTCAATTTTCAGTATGAAGCAGAAGGCCAAGAATATACCAGCTCAAACTTTAATTGGACATGAAGGCGGACATGGACCAGCTAAGAATCACCCTTCAATTCATCTGAATCTGAATCACTTGCATTATAACCTGACACAGGTGCAGAAGACCAAACAGAGGCACATTCAATAATGGAAATGATGATTGAGACAATGGTAAATGCAAAGAGAGAAGTCAACCTGGCTGCTTATCACTAACTTTCCAAACTGAAGATCGCGTCCTTGACGCTCTTGTAATCCATATTCTTCCCTGCATTCACAAAGACCAAAAATTATTCGTAGAAGTACAAATCACAATTCAATCACAACTAAAGCTTTAATTATGGGTGACAAGTCCAATTTGCAATCAATATTCCAAACGTTTGTAATACAACCATATAATTTTTGTAATCCATATTCTAAACTTTCAAACTCCAATTTGTAATGCCTTTGGTGCTTATTTGGCCAACAAAAACTATATGGTCAAGATGATACCAAACACAAGCTTGCAACTTTAGCATAACAAGATCAAAACAAAACGCTTACAACTCTGTCTAATCTGATTAGGATAAGGGCATGAAAGCAAGATCAGAAAACTAAAAGCTCATAACTTTAAGCCTAAACCCCAAACCACACCGAGAAACCAACAAAATCCGAGAAATTAAAACAAACCCAAAAAAGCATACCATATGGGCATCTCTGGGAACACCATAACCGTTATAATACATCTGACCCACCAAGACCTGCATGTTAATATCTCCGGCTTTGGCCTCTTTAAGCGTGTCTTTGAACCACCGCTTTATGCAATCCGATACGACCTCCGAAAGCGGCAGACGGTGGTTGGTCTCCTTCTTTGAGCTGCTCTCAGTCTCCATCTCCTTCAACCGCGGCCTCTTCGACTTTTGGCCTATTTCTGGGTTCGGCGATGCGGACCTCGGATGCTTTGGATTTATCAGACTCTGCGACGTCGTTTTGGCGACTTGGTACAGCCTGGCCGTAGAGGGAAGCGACTTTCCCATATAAAAATTGCAAACAAAGAAAACTTGTAATTTGTAACTAACAAATATTGGAAAAGTTTAGGGCTTTTGGGTTTTTGAATTTGCTTACCTTAAATTTTTTTTTGGATACAGTGAGTAGTGAATATTATCTGTATGGCATGTTATCTCTGTTTGGTTACTGAGAAAAACTGTTTTAAGAAAGTGGAGCGGAAATTGCAACGCAGCTTTCAGAAGACACAACCATTCGTGACTGCGCGAGAGTGTGTTAAGAAAGAAGAGGGGAGAGAAAATGACATCCGATTATATCGTTGCCTTGTCTTAGTAGACCGACGTCGTTTCTGGCTGACTTGGAGTGGTCTTTGTTTTGTTTTCAAGGACTTTTCCTTTGGGTGATGTCTTTATTATATAGATGTGGTGGTTCTGGCGCTATTTGATTTTTGATCTTATCACCATCATTCATCACTCACTAATAAGAAAACGCTGTGCTAATAGCAGCGCTTCCATTGTCACGTGTGGCCCCTCAGCTGTCAACTTCCATGACGTGTGACATTGAATGTTTAGTCTTTTTGTAGTTTAAGTTCTCATTAGCAACCCAAATATCGGACTTTGAGTTTGATTTAACCTCTGATTAATAGCAGGCGTGGGTTAAATTAGGACGGCACTTCACACTGGTTAAGCATACAAGTAAACATGTTAATCATCTTTGAGATTATTGGCACCAAAGGGCTGGTATCAAAATTGGGTTTTTTTAAATCAAACTTCACCAATAATCTTTACATGAACAATAACCATCAATGAAACAATGAAATCGGTTGTTATCCCGGACAATGATCTGTCTCTCTGTAATCTTTGAGATGAGCTTGATAGCCTCATGGCAATCGCCGCATACACGAAGGTTCTTCACAACTCGAATTGTATCTTTAGGAGCAGTGCTTATGAGACCAAATGCAATGGCCAGCTTCTCACTGTGACAACCAAGGAAGTGCTCCTTCTCCTCCTCTTCTATGTCAAACAACACAAAGTCTGTGGTTGGAACATAACCTACTGCTTTCAGTTCCTTAGCCAACTCGTCGAGCTTTGCGTATATCTTCTCTGACAATGCATGGGACTTGTCTCCGACAAGGAATTCGTGAACAACCCCCTTTACTTCGATCCAACTACAACCGGGGATTTTCTTCATCCCTTGTTCATTCATTCTTGACCTAGTGTCTGCTGCCTCATCCCATTTATGGCTTGCAGAGTAAATATTTGACAGGAGAACATAGTGTGCTGAGTTCCATGGTTCTAGCTCAATGAGTTGTTTCAGTACGAGTTCAGCCAATTGGGTTTGCCGATGTAGCCTGCATCCACCCAACAACGCTCCCCAAACGACTGAATTAGCCTTCATCGGCATAGTTTTGATTAGGTTATAAGCTTCATCCAACAAGTCAGCACGACTAAGAAGATCCACCATGCATCCATAATGCTCAATTGTAGGAGCCAAAGAAAAGGCACTAGTCATGTTGTTGAAATACCTACGACCCTCGTCAACGAGACCAGCATGAGAACACCCACAAAGCAGCCCCATGAATGTGTTCCCATCAGGTCGAATTCCATTTTTCTCAACTTGTCCGAACAGTCCAAACACAGTTTTGACATGTCCATTCATGGCAAGCCCAGACATTGCAGCATTCCAAACCACATGGTCTCTTTTCTTCATCCCTTTAAAGACTTCCCAAGCTTGAATCATGCACCCACATTTGGCATACATGTCAATCAGAGCTGTACCAAGAACAGGGTTCACAAAAAATTCATGTTTATCCATCAAATTGCTAGCCCACTCCCCTAGTTCCAGGGCTCCTAATCTTGCACAAGCAGAAAGCACCCCAACCATGGCATAACAATCAGGTTTCAAATTTTCCTTCTGCATTTGAAAGAAGAGGTCTATGGCTTCTTTTGGAAGTCCATTTGATGCATATCCCTGAATCATACTACTCCAAGATACTATATCCTTCTCAAGCATTCCATCGAAGATACCCCGCGCCTTTTCCATCTGTCCACACTTGGCATACAAATCAACTAAAGACGTGGCCACAAACACATTCTTTCCCATGCCAATCTCAGTTATGTATCTATCTATCCACTCCCCACTGCTTAAATCTCCTAACTTGCCGCACGCAGATAAAACCCGAACAAGGCTAAAACTATCAGGCCTCAAACCCATCTCCAGCAACCTGCGAAACGTATCAATAGCTTCTCTATATTGACCAGCTCCAATGTACCCACAAATGATGGCAGTCCAAGAAACCACATTCTTGTCGGGAATATCATCGAAAACCTTATGGGCATGTTCCAAATAGCCGCACTTTGCATACAAGTACAGCAAACTAGTTTTAACATAAACATCAAAATCGAACCCCGTTTTCACCACAAGGGTATGAATGTTCAAACCCAATTGAAAATCCGAACGCCTAGCACAAGCTTTCAAAACAAAAGGGAAGGTGAAGCTATTGGGCAAGATCCCCTCTGTTCGCATAGAACTAAAGAATTCGATAGCATCGTCGAAGCAATCGTCGGAAACCAGGCCACGAATCATGGTATTCCAAAGAAATATATTGGGTTGCGTAGTTTGGCGGAAGACGAGGCGGGAGTAGCTGGCGTGCCCAAAATCGAAGCCAGAGCGCAAGACCACGTTGAGAAGATAGTTGTCTTGGTCGAGACCAAGGCGGAGAAGCCGAGCGTGGGCATGCTTGAGGTGCTTGAAGGAGTTGAAACCTTGAAGAAGGCATTGCTTGGTCTCCAAAGCTTTAGAAAGTACAGGGAAGGCTCTGTTGGGCAAGACTGTCATAACCAGGTTTCAACTGTGGAGCATAGTTTGGAGAGCAACGGCTCTACGGTCGTCTTGCTGTTATGTTATGGCAGCCGTATATGCTCTTATTTTCCCACCACTTTTAATATCTTATTATTATATTACAAATCTAAAAGTCCGTTTAAAATTACTTTAAAAATAATTAAAAAAATTAATTAACATGTACTTTTTAACGAGGGAGAATTTTTTAGGAAATATTAGGTTATGAGTATTTCTTTTAATTGATGAGTGACTTAAATAAAATGTTTTATTGAGGGGTAAAAAAATAAAGGTGACAGTAGCATCAATCTAAAATTTCTTTCTTGCTATATTTCTCCTGAATTTTAAGTTGCAGACGAACATTTGAAAGAATAGGTAAAACGAGAGGCCATGGAAGAATAAAAAACACTGAATCTAAATATTTGTACTCTTGAAGAAGTTCCACACGTCGACAAAACCATATGAACAGAAAAACAATGGCCACTGAAATATGAGCCAGAAAATGGAGTATACGGATACATATATATATGCATTGTAAGAACCATTACATACAGGATTACAAAATTTCACTACATACTACATTTATATCACTCCAACAATTTACACCTGCCAATATCTTAAAAATGATTATAAGCGGAAGTAGATTGGAACTGCGCTTGCACGCTGCGCCGCAGCTGTCATTCTTGCATAAAGCATTTGCCTCACACTAGATTTCTATCGATAGAGCTGAGCGAAATCTTGAGTAAAAAGGAGAATACACCAAACTACAGAAAACTCCAGATTTCTGTAAGAAAGAGCATCCACCACCACTCAAAGCCATTAACGGCACTGGTGAAGAGCTATAGTAGAATAATTCCCTTTAAGAATCACTCCAACTATCATCATCATCTTCATCGCTTCCTGTCAATGCCTGTAACAAAATTCTCATGGTATTAAATTTATTAATAGACAAGGAAATATTGAGAGAGAGAGAGAGAGATAAATAGATAGAGACCTGGCGAATCGCATTTGCTTTCTCTAAGATGGCAGCAACCCTCAAGTTGGTTGTCGGACCCTGAACGCTGGGTCTTGTCACTGTTTGTCTTGTCACGGATGCAGGCTTCAAGTTGAAGGACTGAGGCAAGAAAATATTCACTCAATAATTTCCTACTTGAAAGTAGATAGAACCCCGACCGAGAAAAGGTGGGTGATGCAAAAGCAAAAAATACAACAAAAATTGGCAGCTCTAACCTTAGTTCTTATCTGTTGCAACAATGAATCTCTTTCATCTACCTTAGGTTCAACCTCAGGCCGAATTCGTTCAGTTACCTTTCTCAACTGCAAAATGTCAACATGTTACAAAGGTATGTTGTAGAGCATATTCTGAAAGATAGACACCATAAAATGATAATCATTTACCTTGCTTTGGCCATGAGCAGTAACAGCATCAATCAGGGGATTTCTTGGACGAGGGAGCTTACTAACTGGAATTCCATTGGACCTTCCAACTTCATAGTCTGACATTGCAGCAGAATTATTTGAAGACCATGTCGTTTCTCCCTCTGATGTTGTCAAACTATGCTGAGGCTGCTCATCTACCATTGTTGGTGCTGTCACAGATGTGGGAGGGGGTTTTCCGTGTTCCCATTCTGAATTTTTCAATGAATGTTCAAGTACCTTAGACTCCAAATCTGTTTCCGGTGTTAACTGCTGCAGAGGTAGGATAATTGCTCCACCAGAAGATTCAGGCTCATGTCTAAAAGTTGTACATTCAGTATGTGGTACCGTGAATGGATTTGTACTAGACTGAACTTTTTCTCCTTCTAAAGCAAAGTGATTATGTCCAGACCTGTCATCAGATATCTCTGATGATGATAAAAATGGGTTAGGGAATTGTGTTCCCCCTAAATCAGGGAAACTGTATTGATAATTAGCATCATTAACCATGGCTGGTAAATGCAATGAATACGGGGCAGGGTGCAGCACATTGCCCATCAAGGGTTCAGAAACATGTTGGGACTTCCCGTCTTCCACATATGTGAGAGGCAAAAATGGGTTCTGAGGCTGCAGCACCTCTCTCTGTGGTGCTGGTATATCAAATTGAGCTTTCTCATCAGCTTCTGACGGCTGTATTGGCAGGAATGAGGGTAGGGAGGGATGTTGCTTTCCTATCCTCCATTGCATAGGTGGTAGAGGTGGCAATGGTGGCATGTCCTCCAAATTGACTGCAGTTGCTTCAGGGACTAACCTAGGAAGGGTAGATTCTAATGGTTCCATTGTTTGCTTCGTGACATCAACTTCCTGACCTGCTGATTCTGGTAAGACCACTGATGTTAAAGGTTGACTTGGGAGGTCTCGAGGACAAGATTCTGAGGAAGCATCCAAGCCTATGTCCTGGTTGACGTTTTCTGTTGATGGTAAATCTTTGGATATTTCCTCATCCATGTGATTTGGAGCCCCTATCTGTGCAGATTGAAGACTTGACGAGTTAATACTTGCACGATCTTCTTGCAAACATTCCACATCAAGTTGATCAGATTGGAACACCAGCGACTGCTCTAAGGCAGCTTCTGGCCAATCCCTTGCTCCATCTCTTGGCAAATATTCCACATCAACTTGATTAGCTTGCAACTCCAATGATTTTTCTGAACTAGTTTCAGGCTCTGGGAGGTGGCAGGTGGGTGAAGATACAACATCTTCCTTATCACGCTGATCCAGAGATTGTGATTCGGACTCTGGATTGCTCATTTCTAAAGATGTTGAGGCTGTGGTCACATCATGGACAGCTAAACTGTTTTCAGACTGTTGATTGGGGGAAGAATTATGACCATTATCAGATATTTTTGAACTGGAATGGTCATAAGTAGTTGATTTGCTTGGGTTTGATTCTGCGGTGACATCACAGACAGCCAAACTGTTCTCAGTCAGTTCATCCAGATGATCACCATTGGTAGAACTGGAATGGTCATAAGCAACTGATTTGCTTGAGTTTGATTCTGAATCTAGAGAAACAACTTCTTTTTTACTTGCTTCCCTTTGCACTTCTGAGTATGTGACAAATTCTGGAAAAACTACCTCATCCAATTCCGATTCTTTCTCATGGGAATCGCCGAATCCAGGAAGAGATTCATGCAAATTTATAAAATTCCTTGGTGGAGAAGAAATTGCATCTGGAGATGAATGACTAACATCATTGACATGATCATCAGGTTGGGCAACATCAGTATAGGGCACAGCCACAGTTTCTACATAAAGTGTTTCAGGTACCACATCATCTGACTTTGCATGATCCTCATGGCCTGGATAAGCGAGACAATTAGATGCCAGTTTCACAGAAACTGTATCGCCACCCTCCACATCAGCACCACTGGTGACTAACCGTAACTCCTCACCATCCATGGTCCTAGATGTCTCTTCGACATCGAGTTTCTGCTTATAATGTGGAGCAACCACTTCTGCTGAGATGGATTCAAGTTGGGGAACATCCTCACTTAAATCAGAGATTTGCTGCTCTAATAGGCCATGTGTCTGCGGGGCATCCTGCTGCTCTATTAGGACATGTGTCTGCCGGGCATCCTGCTGCTCCATTAGGCCATGTGTCTGCGGAGCATCCTGCTGCTCCATTAGGCCATGTGTCTGCGGAGCATCCTGCTGCTCCATTAGGTCATGTGTTTGTGGAGCATCGACTACAGGATATAACCCTTCTGTGCTCCATGCAGCATCCACAACAAATGGTATAACTTCGGAAATGACTGCAGTTGGTATGACAGGATCATCAAGTTTGGAAGCCATGTTATCAGGATTTATAATATCTCTATAATAAGGCCGTACTGTATTACCTGAAGGTGTTTGTACTTCTGGCAGTGCTGAAGAAGAGACATGCTCTTCTGTGGGCGAAATACTTAAAAATGGTGAATCACTCTTTCTTCTGGCGAAGCTTTCTATAGAATCTTCATTAGCACACTGGGTCTGAGACATTTCATTCACAGCATTATTTCCACTTTGATCTTCAGAAGCAAGCTCTTCAACATCTGACAAATGCAGCAAAGCATCAGAACTGACACCTAAATCTTCATCATCTGATTCATCAACAGGATGGCTTGAAGAAGTATTTGTGAATTCATCCTTAGTCTGGGAGGAATCGTTAGGGACAACAGCCAGAGAATCATCCAGATGTGTCCCATTTTCATTGATGTCTAATGATTTATAACCAACGTTAATTTGATCAGAGGGTGTTTCATCTAACACAAGTCCCGCCAATGATACCACTTGTGAGTTTGCTCCAGAGTCTGAATGTTGTAGTGTAGGACTTGTTTCCCTAACAAATGCACTGCAAGATGTATCTCCACTATCAGGAAGTACTTCTTCCTTAATGCATGCATTTTGAGACACCACATGCTCCTTCGAGGTAGCTTCTAAAGACTCCGCAATTTCAGAGTTTTGGTCGGATGACATCTCAAAATTATCAGCTCCACAAGTTTCAGTAGAAGGGAATTCTTTAGCTGCTCCATTACACTCTGACGGTGTACTCTCAACCAAATTGCTAGTATCAGAGTGCGAAATACTGGCTCTATCTTTTTCGAACGAATTCTTCCCGTCATCTGATGTAGAGGAATTCCCAATCGACTGAGAATCCGGAAACCGAGTTGGAAAATCCAGATGTTCCTCCTCATTTGCATCAGAGTCTGTCCCGTATTTTTCAACATTCAGGAACCGCACATTGTTCTTAGTTTTATACTCATTGTCAGTTTCCATTTCTGAATCCATTGTAGCAAGAGCATCCATGTAATTGTCTACCTCACCGGTCATATCATCAGAACTGGAGGGGGTGGACCCCTCTACGCTGCCTCCAGTTTTGTGTTCTCCATCACCTGCTAATCGCTTATCAACTGCCAACTTCTGTAGGTTGGAATAACTTTTATTAGTCTCAACATCAGAGTTTGGTTCAGACCTCTTTGCAACTTCTTCATCATAAGCCTCCCCATTAAAGCCATCCACAGATAATTCTAATATAGCCTCTTGGGAGTTAGGTGAAGAGCTTGTGCTTTTGGTTTCTGGGGACATTGCTGCAGGACTCACAATACTGATGTCAAGTATTCTAAGCTCTGGCTCACCAGTATTATCTGAGGTCAATCTCAAGAGTGGTGGAGTAACAGAAGTTTCACAAACAAGTTTACGCTCTGGTGAAGGAGTCTCCAGAAATTTCTCCATGTAACTTTTCCCAGTTTTTGAGTCAACTGCAGATCCATTCAAATGTCTTTTCTTCAATTTCACAAGCCGTGCAGGGTCACTGTGACCATTCTCAATACGCTCCTCCAGGAACAACTCATGCAATCTGTATTATTTGAAAAGTAAAGAGTCACCACTCAACCATCTATTCTTTAAACACGCAGATTTAACAATAACTTGAATGATGATAATGCAGTGATATCAAAAAATAGTTCTCACTTGGCATGTGATGTCAGTGCAGCTTCTGGGGTTTCTCCATTCCTCCAGCGTGATCCTTTCTTCTGCTACACATAAAAGAACAATACAAATATTATAATGGCTTAAGTTTTATAGTACATAAGTGACTTTCCAACAGCAAAAGGAGAACCTAGTTTGCAAATCTTGAAGTCCAAAAAAGTAAAATTCCATGGGTTCCACACAGATATGCATGCAGGCACACCCTCCAAATCAAGATTAGGAGATGCCTAGTACATACTTCCAGTCAAAGGAGTAGCATAAATAGAACTCAAGGCGCAGGTTTATAATTTTGATCTCAAAGAGATCAGGCGGCATATGTTCAAGTAAGATTGTCATAAAGAACTAGGCAACACAAGACCATGCAACGATCATGGTCGCTGCCCATGGGTTACAGCGAGCCTCTCACGGGAGCAGTCACATGTGGTTTTTTTTTCTTTTTTCAAGATTTATATTATACCTTTAAGTAATTTTATAAAATAGTAAATAACTGAGGGATGCAGCTATATGGCTGCATCTTTCAACAAAAAGGTATGTGTGGCTGGTCCTAAAGACATAGATTTTAATGAGCATGAATGTGTATAATTCTAACCATGGCCACAAAGTATAAATTTTTTATAAGGGAATGAACATTCCATTGCAATACCTTCACTTTACGGATTTTCTTTTCTCTCTGCATCTCTACTGTCGCTATTGAGGATGCTGGCTCCACTTTAAAAAATGACGGATCAGTGTACCTCTTTAAACATGCCCCATCCCCAGCAACATCGAACCTGTTAGGATCAGAGAGATACCATTCATTTCCCAAGTTTCCAAAATCAATTCCCTTCAGTGTTTAGGTCAAAGTAGCATAAGTAAGCACAAATTAGTTAATCATACTTGTCCAAAAGGAATAACCGAGGAGGACCACGGCATTCTTCATAAGAATCCATTACAAAGCGAGGTAAGTCACCACGGGTGATCATATTCTGTTCAGAACGCAGATTAGGATGCCAGTCAACCCCTGCAACAGAATTATGCACTCACGTAACTACGCTGTAATTAAATGTCAAAGTATCAATTCTGACCAAAAGAAAAACGTCTGCTATCAATGCATCATAATTTTGTAGTACTCACATGAATCATGCTACAAATAACTATGACAGAAAGATCCAATCAATTGTCATCTAACTGTTATGAAGGTGCATAACAAGTCATACAGAAACAATTACATAACAAGTACTCAAACCTGAATTGGAAAAGAATGATGAATGATTAGTTTGAGATAGAAATGCCTTCTCGATTGAAGGAAAGTCTGCTTCAAGCTGTTGGACACGAACCACGAGACCATGGCCTCTTGTTGCAGTTGCCATTACTTCTTCATGCAAGTCATGAAATATTTCAGCAGCAAACCTATAAGCAAAACTAACCAATTAAACTTTTTTTTTTTAACAACCTACTAATTAAACTATTTAAAACTCCACAATAAAATTTCAATTGTACAATATAAGGATATAATTCAACTGAAAAACAAATTTAAATAAATAAATAAATAAAGAGCAAAATTACATATCAGGCGAAAAGGCTTTAAACCTGATTTCCTGAACAGAGAATTACTTGTTTATACATGCCCAGATTTGCAGTGGCCAAATTAAATCCCAATTCGAAAACATTTGAGTTTAATATGATCTTATAGCCAAAATTCGTAACACATAACAGACTCAAAATTCCTCAAACACTCCCAATTAAAGTGCACTTCAATCAGCCTAATCCAATGGTAATCTCCAAGAACTACATATTTAAACCCAGACAGTAAGCATAATTCGGCACTCGAGCCTAAACAGCAACACAATGAAGTAAATAAATTAAACTCGCGGTCAATCAAGTAATACAGTCCAAATCGGCACCAAAAATTCGGAATAAAGTTCGTGATTCTATCCAATCATCAACTCCAAAAGTCCAAAAATCGAACCCTAAAGGTTCAGCATTCTGGTCCCAGCCACGATTTTCAACACAATTCAAATAAAAAACCACACAAAAACAGTAAAAATAAAAAAGAGGCTCACTCAGCAAGGTCGCCGAGCTGGCGCAGAACGCCGACGAGGCCAGCCATGGCCACGCCTTCCAAGAGAGCCTCTGGATCATCTCTATCGGCTGCTCCGTAAAGTTCCGGATCGGCCAAGCCGTACTCGTTCCTTATCTGGTACCTCGTCAACGGCATTCTTCACTTCTCGCCTCCGAGAAACCCTAATCTCTCAAAAACCGTATGCTATAATTATGTATCGCTCTGGCCTCTGCTCTTCGATTTCACATTTCCAGAAGGCAGAGAGCGGAAGAGAGAGAGTGAGTAAATGAATGAACATGCGGTGGTCAGAAAGACGTGAAGGGAGTGAGACAGACAGAGAGAGAGAAAGGGAGAGAGAAGGAATTAATTATATTTTTAACTAAGAATTTTGGAATGAAAGCAACGGTGCGAGTGAGTGAGTTGAGCTGCTCGGCGCGCGCATCTCGCCGCTTATAATCCGCTCGTTGTATTGGATCATGCTATTTATGCTGTAATACAATATCTTTGTTTGTTCAGATTGGAATCGCCTGCCTTTCAGACCACAGCATGTTAGTGCTCCCTATCCAAAGTTTGTCTAGAGAGCTGGCTAATGATGAAACGATTGGCTTGGAAATTACGCTGCTTTTTTCTCTCTCTTTTTTTATTTTTTTTTTTATTTTTTTGGGTTAAGTACTGAATTTGAATAACTATGAACCCTAGCACAAATTTTTTATCAAAAATAAAATTATAGGTCAGTTGATTTTGACTGTGTTCACCTTCTTGCAGTCAGATTTGAATCCATTACTCCGTAAATTAGAGTAGTTTTAAACATTTTTATTATTCGAACTTGCCATGAACATTTTGCACATCAATAAAATAAATAGAAGAAATTGCGAGGGATTTGTAGCCCTAAATAGGAGAAATTAAAATCCTTGAGAATCAAATTCAGCTCTAAACTTTTAAGACAAATGACAGTGATTGTGCAAATTCAAACCATTCATGAGATTACACCCCAATGAATGATGACATCAACAGAGGCAACTCTCTATTTTTTCCTTAATTTTCTTTGTATATGATTTTTTCTACAAAAAGGGCTAGAGCAATAAAGTTTATATTTTAAAATACACAATTTTTATTTCTTTGTTGGCAACATTGAGTAATAAAATACATCACATTCTTGTCTTAATCATTATGCTTTTCCCCCCAAGATCAGTCTGCTTTTTTATTTCTTTTGCTGGTAGATCATTCAGACTTACTGCTGAGTAGTGCTTGCCAAACAAGTCTCCCATGTTCATAAGAAAAAAGTGATACAATTGCGAAACAAAAATTTAAAAATAGAGAGGAAAAAATATATATTTGTGATCATTTGAAGATCTTAACTGCTTGATTAAGAATAATGAGCTTAAGTTCTTATCACATTAGGGTCCAAGAGGAGCTATGGCGTTTTTATTCATTTATGATGAGCTATGGTATATATACATATATATATATATTATTTTTATTTTTATTTTTAATATAAGCGATAGTCTAAATTATAGGAAATTGAGGTTTATAACACACACACTATCATGATCCTACTGAAAGTATTGAGTATTGACCTTCACGAAATTGTGAGGTTATTAAATACCAGAAGACAAGTATATGTTTCAAATTTTCTTTTATATTGCTGGTTACAGACTACAGTTCATGGTTTCATAGAAAAAGAAAAAACGTAGAAGTAAAAAAACCAAAAAAGTTAATATTAAGAAATGAAAAAATAGAAAATATAAAGACAAATTTAGGTTTTAGGTAACCTCAGTAGTCTTGTCCCTCTCTCCTCCCTCCTTTGATGACTCCATGAGGTAACTCTGGATTCGATTGTATCAAGCAGCAGCACCTCCAACCAAGTGCAACCAGCCAAGGTGGGGCCCACGAAAGGCAGGACTTGAAGTGTCATATCACAAGGCCCAGGGCCACAAGGGAATCAATGGAACCAGAACTTTTGTTCGATTGTGATCCTATGACTATTTTGATGTGACTTAGGGTTCCTGTACTTTTGGATGCACCTGATTACTGTTTTTTTTTTTCAGTCTGAAATCTTAATGGGAATATGGAAGCTTCGTTGAGTCTTTTTATCTTGTACAGATTCTTCCGGTCTTTTGAAATTGAGCCTTTTCCTGATTTCAAAGAGACAGATAGAGAAGGTTAAAGTTGGTGGTGTGTGGAAGTTGTTTCACTGGAATAAAAATTATAAAAGCAAAAGGGGTCTCGTTTTCAAGGTGCCTTTGCTTTCTGGTAAAGCCTTTTAACATTTTCCATGGGATGTACCAGTAGTTGTTAGCTTTTGTTTTCTAAGGTTCTGTTTCCCCCTTTTGGTCCCTCTTCTTGGGCCTTTCTCATTCGCCTCTCCTTTGCTATAAAACTACTACTCCAGAACCAATACGACCGTTGATGATTCAGCGAGCATTACACACATCTGACGTCTGCGAGTGTCAAGATACAAAATAATAAAATAACATTGAAAGAATTGGGGTCCACAACAGTGAGCGGGCATATGATATCAAGATCAATTTCCCAGGTTTTATATTTCGTTGTCAAAATTATGAATGTAATGGAGTTAAGTATTGCATAACCATATAGTAGGCGAGTAACTACAATCATGCAACCTTTGCTTAAAAGTTTTGATTCATTAGTGGGATGCATATGATACGTTTTCAACTGTGCATATATTAAAAAAAATTATACACTTCCCAACAAGAACATCTCTAAGACTCCAACAACTGTATGGGCAACTTGTTTCTTAATGCTGCAACTATGCTTTGATGCACAGATATCCCACCATTTTCTTAAAATAGTATACTAGCTAACATTAGACTAGTGGTTGCTGTTCTTGACCCACCATACGTACCTTAAAAAGGCCGACCCACCATGGTCCATGGCCTTCGCTTATTTGTTACCTCAACTATATCTCATTATGGGACAAATAGCTAGCACATGATTCTACTCGCTCATAAATGGGAAAAAAAACATAACAAGTTTCGTTTTGAACCATTTTAAGTGGCACCCAATCTTGTACTCAGAAAATAACATGTTTCAATTTTCAACTATTTTGATTTGCCAATGATCAATTGGTAGAGTGGCACTCAATCTTAGATTATTTTGTCGAAGTTTGTGAGTTCAAATCTCATAATCCATAGTTGTTGAATAAAGAGACTAATTTGTTTTTTTCTTTGTTCAAAATTTGCAGTGGATCTTCAAACTCAAGGAGTTTTGACCCAAACTCTTCTTCGAGCACTCCAAACTCTTCTTCAGCCCAATTACTCTAATTTGGGCCTAAAATCTCCAACACCCCATAACCCAGACAAAAACAAATCCTGTGATGCATTTGGATTTGCCTTTTTTATTAAATAAAAACAAAAACAAAAACAAAACAAAACAAAACTCTGGTGTGTGTGTGGATGGAAAATTTACGGTTCCCGAACCGAATTCAACCCTAGGAGAAATTGAATTAAAATATATACGCGGCTGACGAAACAACATACTTAAAGAACATTATTCTCACATACAAATCATCATGTAGAAACCCCAAAGTAAACCAACAAAATAATTCTGTGAATCTTTGTTTTATGGCACGTTAATAATTCAAAATAATATCGTATTTTCATTACAAAAAAAGTAACATAACGTCCAAATGGAGTCAATGATCCCATCCTCTTTTTTCCTTTTGGTTTATGACAGTGGCGGATACAGGAATTGTCACTCATAGAGTCATAGTGTAAACTACCCAATATATTTTTAAGATGAAAAAAATATTGAAACTGAAACGATAATACTTTCACTCATAATTAATGTCAAAAACAATATTACAAGTTACAAAAGTTACTTGAATTGAATTGTAAACTTTCACAAAAATAGCGGCGGCGACGGGGACGGCTAGTAGTGAACAGCAACTAGCACCCATGGCGGTGGCAAGGGAGGAGGTCTTGGGGAGATTGGGGTTAGGGTTGTTGTTGAGGAGAAATATGAAAATTGGGATTTTGGAGGTGAATTTTGGGGTTTGTGCTGTTTAGAGGGTTCAACTCCCTTTTTTTTTTTAATGTCATTTTAAAAAAAATTGTCTTGGCCAAAATGATGTCGTTTTGCCAAGCAGTTAAAAATAATAAAAAACAGAACCCCAGCTGGCCCACGAAACTTCTTCTTCTCCATGTGGTCGCTTCCATGGCTGCCAAGGAAAAAAAACCAGATCGTACCACTAAAATTCAGATCTGCCATGGGGTCGTCTGACTCCATTGACCCCATGGTGGATCCGCCACTAGTTTATGGGAACATATACAAATCGCTAATGGTGGTCCATTTCCATTAGATACACAAGCATATCACCATTATTAGGAGCAATTACTCACAAGGTGTAGTGTCAAGCACCCACTAATTATGTAGATAATGCAAAGTCACTTGAAGATTTGTTGCATTAATTTGGACGGACCAAATATAATAACATTAGTTTATAAAAAGAAATAGCATTTAAGCAGCAATTAAGGGCCGGCTCAAAAGAGACCGCAAATGAGAAACACTATTTATAACAAAGACAATGGCCATAGGGCCGTGGCATCTTATCTTGCTCTGTTTATTGGCTACAAAAGTTTCCATAGACCCACAAACATAATCATAATTAGGAATAAATAATCAGGTATTTCAAATAGGGTTTGTTTAATCTCTTGATTTGGCTGTAAAACACAGCTCATGAGATTAAGAAGCCAAATCTTCAATCTCTGCCACATACATAATTTAATGTTGTATGTAAAATGGAGATTATATAATATAGTATTAATTCCTGATATCAATGTATGCACCTACCAACCCCAAAATTTTCTGACTTTTTTTCTCACTTGAGATCCTCTTGAATTGATCAACATATCTCATGCCTCCCCATATGGTGTGACGGTCTAGCTGCCTGCTACCACAGAAGTCATCAGTCAGACTTGCAATTGGACACGAAAACACTCTTGTACGATATAAATATACTTTAAATAATGATTAAATTTTCATAATACAAAACACAGTGTACGATCATGACATATTTATTTACTTGAAAAGAGAAGTACGAAATCGAAGAAGAAGTCATGTATTGAAAAAAGCTGCAGTCTTTGGTCATAAACTTGAGGGCTCTTCTCTCTTCATCGTGACCACCACTTCCAAATTCTGTGTGAAAAACCAGTCAAAGTAGGTACGCCAAAATCATTAAAGTATTATGGTGTGTCCATTTTTCTAATTGAAGCAAAAGCTTGACGTGAGGAATTATCAGAGTGGCTTATATATTTATCAAAATTTAAATATTTTAAAGGCTAAAAGTTAAAACTCCAAGAACACGTACAGTCTGTAGCTGCTCAAAAAGAAGACCGAGGTCCAGAAATTAGAACGATCAAATCTAAATCTTATTACTTAAATCACGTAATCTTCGACCCTTTAATTTAATTTATTGCC